GGGAGGCCAGATAGGACCATGATAAAGGACAGCATTGCAGATCTCACCCCTAACACTTATTGGCTTTGTGACTTAGGTGAGGCCCCTCAAAACTCTGAGGGGTCTCACCATAATATAGGGATGTTAACCCCTGTTTCAGCTGGTTGTTGGAAGAACTAAATGCAATAGTCAAATTAAATCATAGCTAAATGACTTTGTCTACAAAATAGTGTGTACTACTCGATTTTTATCATCAGTGTGACTGTTTTCAAACCTACAAATTGTTTATAAAAATGAAATATTATTGTAATATTTAGCATGCTATGACTTCACTGGGTAACAGGATAAATATTAAAAGAAAAATATAAGCAGAAAAAATTGGATGGAGGTGGTAAAGCATGTGGTCCATCTTTATAAGGGAGGGACTTCATAGATAAGGATGTATGGGGACTCAGGAGCTCACCAAATTAACTCATTTTAACTTAGTTAAGAGATGGTCATATGGATCTTTTTTAAGGATGAAAAATACTGTCCATGATCAATGGCCTTGTGTCAGGTTGGGATAAGGTATCTGGTGAGTGACTGAGAATCAGCGATAATTCAGGTCTTATCTAACATCTCCAGAGCCACTGAGAGCAAGAGTAATCGGTAGGTTAATGAAATCTGTAAAGACAGCGAACCTCCAGGGAGCCAATCTCAAGCCGGAGAAACTCCTCCCTCCTCCCCACAGAAGATAAAAAGTAATGCAGAAGAGCACCAAAGTTCGTTCACTCCAAAAATACTTCATCCCTACTCTATACTGAGCACCTTGTTAGGCACCAAGGATTTATTTAGGTTTGAAAGACATGATCCCCTTCCTCACCAAGCTCACAGCCCAGTGAGGGGGAGTGTAAGTCACTACAATTCAGTAGATAGTTATAGAGAAGTTTAGGGTACAGGAGTGTCCAGAGTTGGGGCTTCCAGCCCAGCCCAGAGATTAGAGAAGGTTTCCCAGAGGGACAACACCTGAGCAGGTTCTTCAAGGACCCAATGTAGCTAGTCTGACAGGGGAGGAGGGTGGTTGTATTCTAGGAGGAAGGAGCACCACAGAAGTGGAACCACAGGTTGTTCAATTTGGTCCTTCAGGGTAAGGGAGTCAGCCCTGCAAAAGAACTAGGGTTCCTTTTTAACGTCGGCTAATGTCATGGCCTTGCCACATTACAGTGATTGTCCTTTTAAAATCTCTTGCTTGAGGGGCACCGCAGGGGCTTAGTCAGTTAAGCGTCTGACTCTTGGTTTAAGCTCAGGTCATGGTCTCGGGGTCCTGAGGTCGAGAGCCCTGCCCTGCAGCAGACTCCATGCTCAGCAGGGAGTCTGCTTGTCCCTCCACTCCTCTTTCTCTACCACCCTCCCTCTGTCTCTAAAATAAATAAATAAAACCTTAAATCTCTTGCTTGAGAAAAGCGCATGATGCCCCCCCCAAAAAAAATTCCATTAGGAATCTTATAACAGTTTTCAATGAACTTGTGTCTTACTAATCCCAACAGTGTCTGCTGGTACTTACACTTGAAAAATATTTATTATACTTTTGAAGGAACTTGTGTACTTTATTCCCAACAGTACCTACTGACATTGTCATTTGAAAAATATTTATGTGCAAGACTTAGCTAGCTTTTCATTGTGAAACACTCTTTGTTCATGCATAATTGTTCATGTTCATGACCTTACAAGGACTGCCAACTCAGCTCATGCCCCACTCCCCACCCCCAGAAGTTGGTGAGCCAGTTAGCATTGGAGTAAAGGGTACTGGCAGGATCTGAGACTGGAGAGCTAGCCAGAGCTAGGCTTCATTGTCCCTGTGAAAGTAGAAGGCATAGGGAGATGCTGAAGGGTTTAAAGGAGTGACAGCAATTGATGCTCTGCTGGCAATGTGGCAAGCAGCAGGAGAAAGGCAAGGCAGGGGACAAAGAGATGAGTTACATGGCAAGCTCTGAACTAAAGAATGTAAAGAAAGGAGCAGATATGAAAAATATTAAAAGGTAGAATTGACTGGACTCAGTGACCCTGATGTAAGAATTGGGGGGCAAAGTCCCAGATGACCAGCTTTCTGGCTTAGGTAATTGGGTAGATGGTGGTACCAATACAAAAAAGGCAGAGAAAAGGACAGGGTTTGAGAAGAAAATTTTGACTTTGGACATAGCGACTTTGTAGTTCCCATGGGATAGCCAAGTGGAGATATATTAGAAGAAGGACCTAGGCTAGGTTTGGGAAGTATTGACATGGATAATAAAGTCCTGGGTGTGGGTAATAGCACTCAGCCATGGTATAGAGTGTGGGAGAAGAGGTCCAAGGACAAAGCACCAAGAACCCCACCATCTAAGAGGCAGGTAGAAGTGAACAATTCCCCTCAGGAGGCAACCACATGCAGAAATGAAGGAGAAGGAGAGTAGCAGCAAGAAAGAGACAGAGGTACCATGGAGCCAAGGGAAGAGAGGATTTTAAGAAGAAGCCATGAAATTTGTCAGTCCCAAGAGCAGTCAAGTACAAGGACCAATAAGTTTACTAGTAGCTATGGTGAAAAGAATTAATAACAAAACACCATCTCCTACTTATGGGGCTCATTATGCTGTCAGAGCACCTCATACTTTGTATTTCATGTGTCTGGCCCTACAGCCTATAGCAACTGTCCAGAGGAAAAAGTCCCTAGAATGGAGGTGACTGTCTAGCAAGTTAGTGACTGGGCTCCTGGAACTGGAGATCAGTCCAGAATCTCAACCATGCTCCCTGGTTCCACCCACACTTGGGTTAGTGTTTTACATAACCAACAAGGAAATCAGAATGGGCCCTGTTCCAGAATAATGATATAGACATTCAAAGGCTTGCTTATCACACTTTCTTTTGCACTTCCCAGAATCCAGAGATATCAATGCTGTGGGATCATGTGACTCCTAAAAGGCATTACCTAATTCCTTACAGGAAGGGCTTGCACCCAGTTCCATATGTAAGAGGGATCATTGAAGGTCTTCAAGTAGAGCAGTGATATCAACTGAGGAGTCATTGGAAAGATTTATTAATTTTATTGAACTTGTATTTGACGGTACATATTGTCTGGTTGTTGGATATTTACACCACCTGAAACAAAATAATGACAGTACACTGTGAAGACCTGTTCTGGATTTTTTTTGCAACTGGACCACTTCTCCTCACCATACCTCCCACTCCAATGAGTAGTCTATCTTCACCAGAGAGAGTCACTCAAATTTGGAGCAAAAGCTCCTTGCAGATTTGATGAGGTCAATACGTCATCAGATCTCAGTTCTCCTCCTTCTGTGCTTTTTCAGGGGCAGGTCTGGCTCTCCCTACAGGAGTCCCCTGCTCACTCTTTCATCCCTGAATCATACCAATAAGAAGAGGGCATCTGCCCTTCTGGTCTGTCAGATCTGGACCAGGCCCAGACTTTTCCATGCGGGACCAGGCTTGGACCTGCCTCCTTGCCTTGCTCTCTGTTGGGAGCAATTCACAACATACTTATCTCTGGGAATTCACTGCTCTGCTGGGCATAGGTCTGAGTATCTCTCTCTAAACCTATCATTCATAGCACAGAAGTATTATGGAAAAAAAAGACCTCTGGGGGATCCCTGGGTGGCTCAGCGGTTTGGCACCTGCCTTTGGCCCAGGACGTGATCCTGGAGTCCGGGGATCGAGTCCCACGTCGGTCTCCTGGCATGGAGCCTGCTTCTCCATCCTCCTGGGTCTCTGCCTCTCTCTCTCTCTCTCTCTCTGTCTATCATAAATAAATAAATATTAAAAAAAAGACCTCTGTATCAGTGTCTAACATTACATTCTCTACATCTCTCTATGGTCCATATAGTATCACTGCACTGTTATCACATTGGAGGTTGGGCAAGGCCCCAAAACAGTCACCACTATGCAATGTTGATTTTCTGAGGGTGACTCATAGCCTTAGTTCCAGCTGGTGGCCTGGCTCTGGCCTTTTCTTCTGACCCAGAAAACTGAGCTTCAATCTTGGTACATGACTGCACAAGTCATTCTGGGTCAGGAACAGCTGAGAAGTTCTCTAGATTCTGTACCACTGGCCAAGGATGAGTGATGAGCTACTTCCTTTCCTCCTAAGTGTACTCTGTATGTGGCCCTCTTCTCATGATTGAAGATGGCTGGTACACAGGAAGAATAAAAGCAGGCAGGATGGGTGAATTGGAATTTTAAAATGCCTGCTTTATCGCCTACTCCATTGTGTTGCTAAAACAGAAACATCCATTAAATATTAGATATGAGGGGCACCTGGGTGGCTTAGTCAGTTGAGTGTCCAACCTTTGATCGTGATCTCAAGGTCATGAGATCGAGCCCCACTTAAGATTCTATCTGTCCCTCTCCCTCTGCCCTCTGTCCCTGCTCGCATTCTCTCTCTCTCTAAAATAAATAGTTATGAAAACTCATTCTCAGAAAAAGGAGAGTCATTAAATGTCTGTCTCCTCCTTCAGAACAAGCCTAGACAAGTAACATGATGTTAATTCTCTCATCTCTCAACTAAATTAAAGAGATCAGTTAACTAGGAGACTTCTGAAATCATCTTAAGCCTATGCAACATTCCACTGGAAAAAAATTCTATGTAAAGTCAAATTGAACTGCTATTATGATTTTTAAAAAATAGGTGTGATACACTTTTTAGCTTCTGCATCACAGACTTTTTGCTTGTCTAAATGACGTGTCTCTGCAACTAGACAACCTGTGTTCAAATCCTGGCTCCCAGACCAACAAGCTGGATGACCTTGGACAAGCCACTTAGCCACCCTGGGTAAAATGGGATAATGGCATTTCTTTCTCGGAGCATTGCTGGAGTATTTTTAATACATTTTAAAAAGTAAAACACCGAGGTGAGAGCCTTAGCATACCAAGTGTCAGTACAGGATAGCCCGGGCAGTTTCAGACTGACTGATACTGGGTGGCAGGCAATCAGGGGCTGCCCAGGCTCTGCTGTGATGATGCAATAACAAGCTCCCTGCTGTTTTTCTTCACTGTAGGTCAGTGCAGCTGAATGGCCAGCCCCTAGTGATGGTGGATGATGGGACCCTCCCAGAACTGAAGCCCCGCCCCCTGCGGCCCGGCCGGACTTTGGTCATCCCTCCAGTCACCATGGGCTTTTATGTGGTCAAGAATGTCAACGCTTTGGCCTGCCGCTACCGATAAGCCACCCTCATACCCACAAGTTACCAGCTGGTTTGCTGGACCACTTTCCACTCTCCCACCCTGATAGTATCCTGATTTTTCAGACATCTTCTTAGCAACAAATCAATCTCTGCTGCCCCATCCTGCTGGAATCAGCAGACTTGCTCTGCAAAGAGACTAATGCCATAGCATGAGCTTAGCCTAGGTAGGCCACATCCACCCCAAAGGAACATGTAGACATCACCCATCACTGTACCTATGTAAGGATGAAGGTACATGCATAGAGCTGTATGTATTCATGTATACACCATGTAAATGATCTGATGGCACATGCCAAGGACAGATGAAACAGCTCTCCATGATCCGGGTCACACAGCTATACGACTGTGGACCATAGTGTGTGACTGCTGCCCTCAGCACAAAATGGGGAAGGAAACCACCAGGTGGGCCCTCAGGAGCCCAATCCTCCTCTGATTCCTCTCCTTGTCTGTTCCCTGCTGTTGCCCTGGGTTTCCCATCACCTCTCTTCCTACAGGGGAACAGGCAGGTGGGTCAGCGCCGGCCTGCTGGGTGAGCTGTTTCTGTCATTTCCTGGTTGATGCATGATTGTGTGCATCTGGGCTTCTGACAGTGGCATCCATCACTGACTATTCCTCTGGGAAGCGGGTGCTTCAAAAGTAAAATTGCAATCATACTCCAGATTTTGTAAGGGGGTTCTATTCCTCTGTGCATCCAGATTCCCCTGGGGTTGGAATGGGAGTCAGGTAACAATATTCATGGAGTGGAGAACAATGTATTAGGCACCACAGAAAGCAATCATCATCCGTCATGTGGCTGAGAGGAAGAGAGCTTCAGCACAAAGAGAAAGCACACTGAACCAGCAAATGCACATGCACACATGCACACACGAACGTGCACACACACCCCAACTGAACAAGCAAATAATTAGACCTGTATCAAATCTGAAGGAATTTTAAGGGCATGTAGATCAAGCTCTTAATAGTTTGTCTGACCAAAACCATAAAAAAAAAAAGGTGTAAATCGAAAGTCATCACTGTAAGATACAAGGGAATCTAACTTTCCTGCCTCTTCCCAAGGAGTGGTGAGACTGCCAGTGGTATTTCCTAGGCAGAAAGCTAATCCAGTCCTGAAAGATGACCAGGTCCCTGCTCTCCCAGACCAGCCCCCAGGCAACTGAACAAAGCTTTCAAAGCTTTCAGTTCACCACCTGGGGAAGAGGGAATCTGGAAACTGAGGTCTGCTGGGGAACTGTGGAGTGGTGAGTGGGATCCCCCTCCCCCGAACTGGGCAGGGGACATGGACTGATGTAAAGTTTATGATAAACCTTCCATATGATTTAAGAGGTAAGATGCAAATAAGCTGCCACTGAAACGACTCTTTCCTATGGGTTTGATTTTCTTTCTCAGGGTAAATGGCATGAATGACAGGGGCTAAGGACAGGGCCAGGTCTGAGGTGACACAAGGGAGGAAATCCGGGAGACTCAGCATGGAGAACGGAGATGGGGGGTGATTGGGGGGAGGGAAGCCAACAGGCCACTCTTTGCGTGAGGAAGAGTGGACTTGGGTTTTGTCAAGTGTGTCAGCAGGTCCAGGAGGATGAGCACACCGGAGGTGGGGGACCAAATACTGGGCTGGACCTGGTCAGTGGGCATGCTCAGCCCAGAAGAGGATGGAGAGAGGGGAGCAGACCCTGGCACTGTCAGGTGCAAGGTTATCCTAGGGGGCCTCCTCCTCAGGAAGCAGGCAGCTCCTGCTGCAGCCTCAGCTCTGGTTGGGGGGCGAGGGAAGAGAAGCGCCAAGGCTGGGATAGAACAGCCCAGCCCAAATGAGGACAGCCCAAGTAAGGAAGACAGAGGAAAGGAGAGACCAAGAAGTTGTCTCCCCAAACTTTAAAAAATTTGTGCAGATACCAAAATCTCCTCTATATATGGGCACAGCTATAGGCCTCCAATGATAACATAAATGAGCAGCGGTCCCAGTGGGTCTGGGCCTGGCCAGTTTGCTTTACATATATAGTAGCCCCATGAAGGAGTCCCTGGTTTTATCCCCACCCTCCCATGATGTGTGGAGAGAGGTCGTAGCTGGCCCAGGGCCACCCAGGGCAGTGGGTTGCTGAGTGGAGAGTAATCCAGTGCCTGTTCATTTAACCACCAAGCGCAGTGGTTGCCCACCTCACAGCCTCACTCCCTCACCTCCAATTCAATGCAGTCAAACCTCCAGAGCTCCGTGCAAAGCACACTTTGTGTAAATAAGTGTTGATTCTTCACTAAGCTTCTAAGCCTGCAGAAGATAGGCAGTTTCTGCTTCTTTTTTCTTTCTCTGTGTATTAAATGCTCCCAAGAGGTTTAAATTTTGCTTTTTGGGTTTTTTGTTTGTTTGTTTGTTTTTGTTTTGTTTTTGTTTTTGTTTTTTTTTTTTTAGTTAATAAAAAGGGAAGAGGGAATCATTGAAATTTATCTTTGGGGTCCTGAAATTCTAATTTTGTGACTGTCTCGTGGAAGTATTTGCATTATTCAAAGGATACTGATAACATCATATAACATCATATTCTTTAGGGATTTCCCTATAGAGCATCTGTCCTGGCTTTTGCATTTGGGATGGGGGATAATTACTAAATCAGTAGGGCTCACTTCCTATAAGGGATTCCCCTATAACACTCCCCCAAAAGACAGCCTGTGGCAAAACTCAGCATCACAATGCATACCAGGGGAGCAGTTTGCAAGGCTGGGCCCTGGGACAAAAGAGTTCATCCACTAGCTTCCCAGATCAGATTTTTTCCTCCTAAGATAAGACATGGCTGAGATCATCCAAGACTTTAGAGCCACTTTACTTGAAACTGAAGAATGGGCTTGCAGAGATGCTTATTTGAAAGCATAATAAGAAAAAAAAAAAGAAAGAAAGAAAGCATAATAAGGTATAATGAGAAGTCTTTGCCTTTTGTTGAGATGATTGTCTGTTCTCCCTGCCTCTAGGAATGATTTTCTTTCTCTTTTCTTATCACAAAGGTTCAGAACAAATTCTCATTGTTGTCTGAAGAAAAAGTCTCAATTCTTCTAGTTCCCTGAAAAAGTTGCAACTGTGGGATATTAGCTTATCTCTGGATGGAGAAAAGCTTGAAAATTCCAGAACAGGTTTACAATGAGGCTAAGGCCTGGGACCCCCCAGAACAATTCCCAATGGCCCAGTGGCCCTCATAGCCCCAGCCCCTCCCCAGCAGTTGGGCCCAAGCCCTGCATCCTCCAAATGGTAGAAGCTTTTGGTGGATTTCACCTGAAAGTCCTCCTGCTGGCCTGGAGCATCAAAAGCTTCTGAGGCTTTGGGGGTGGAGGAGGGTCAGGGGGATGGAGGGGCTTTGCAGGGAAGGGATCCAGCCTGACTGTGAACCTGGCTTGAACTGCTGAGCTGCTGGAGGGGTTCTGGCCATGCCCCACATCTGCAGGTGTGGTCCACAAGTACATTCCAGGCCCATGTTTGGGAGGGATGCAGCTGCTGGATTCACCTTGGAAATCCACTGAGAGAGGCTTTATTTCTGAAAACAAAAGCACAGTATTTAAACTCTGCAGAAGCAAAGATGAAGCAGGTAGATATCACTGGCAATAAAAAAACACTAGGACAGAGAAAGACTTTAAAAATTTGAAGCATCAGGGGATCCCTGGGTGACTCAGCGGTTTAGTGCCTGCCTTTGGCCCAGGATGTGGTCCTGGAGTCCTGGGATCGAGTTCCACATCAGGCTCCCTGCATGGAGCCTGCTTCTCCCTCTGCCTGTGTCTCTGCCTCTCTCTGTGTGTCTCTCATGAATAAATGAATAAAATCTTTAAAAAAATTTTTTAAAGCATTAATAGAATATCTAAAAATAATAGAGATGTGTCTTGGAGAAGGCAAGGGAAGAAGGGGCATAAAACATTTATGCACAAGGGTTCCTCCACTACCCTTCTCTCTCCAACCTCAGTACTCCTGCCCCAGCCTGGACACTGCCCACTGCTTTCCCACTAACTTCTCTCCAGTTTCATTGCCTTCCTTCTGCCTCGGGCTCCCAACCTGGAGGCCAGGGAAATCTGTACTGACCAGGAATTAAGTCTTATTGTAGAATTGTTTGCAATCTTTTCTTAGGATATACCAGAATTGCAAATAAGGTAGTAAGGGGCACTCAAAGATAAACAGTTTTTATAAGACAACTAGAGCTTTAGAATCATTGCTCTAGAATCATATGGACACAAAAACTTCTATAACTGCCTTTTTATGCCCAGTCCTGGGTGGCGACTGTTTGGGGAAGTCCAGAGAAGTGATTTGTCCAAGACAATCCAGATAAGCAGAGCGGCAGAACCAGGAGTCAAACCCAGATCTGTTGGATTCCAAAGCCTGCTCTCATTGAACCATGCTCTCTCTCATTGGACTGGTGGTGGCCAACTTTTTCTCACCTCCAAATTGTCCACAGCTAGCTTTCTTAACAGCCTGTGCATGTCTACAGAAACCCCTACTAGTGCTTTCACCCAGGACAGCTGTCAAGTGGGGGGAAGCCTGTGAGCAGGCCTAATGAGTAGTGAGTAGGGCTGTAACCTACCAACCTTGGCTGTAACATTTGGAATCCACCTTCCCCTCAGGCCCACCAGTGGTCCTCCCGGTCACTCCTCCCCTGTGTTTTTCTGTAGAATAATTTAAAGGACCACTCCTACCATCACCACCCACCACAGGTGATGATTCCTGATATTTCTAAGTCCTGGAGAGCCAGGCAGCACCCACACATGCATTGTCCCTGAAAGCACTGCTCCTCCTGTCCCCATCACTAAGAGGTTTGGAAGTTTCTCTTTGTCTTCCAGACTAAATAATAAACCCATTAACTACTGCCAGAGGGGTTGTATTTGTATAGACCACTCTAAAATAAGAAAGCTAAAACACAAGAAACCAACTGCTTTGGCACCCACTTCCTACTAAATAGAAGAGCAGCTCCCCCAGGAGCCCTGGAGCATTTGGAAGGAGCTGACCAATTTCCAAATGACTGG